GGCGACTCCGCTGGCCTTTCTTTCCGATTCTTTTGTTGTATTTTGTCCATCAGGCGTCACGTACGAACAAAAACTGCTAAAAACAACATTACAAGAGATTAACCAAATTTCAATCTCAGACTAGTGTAAGGGTTGCCATTTTTTTAACTGCTCGGCCAGAGGAAGTGGCAAAAACTGCTGTGAGGTAAAACTGGTTACAATTAAATACTTTCACAATAAGAATAATCAACAGAATAAACACAGGAAAATTCAACCTTGTTTCCAAGGTTGTTTAATTTGCTCTCTTTGGGAAAAAAGAGAAACAAACCTGGGAACAAGGTCGGAATTAATTCTAGGGGGTGACTGCGTGCGTCTGAAATCTAGATATAACTTAGTGAGATGTCGATGAAACCTTCCAACATAAATAACGAATGGTGAGTTTCTATGCAATTACTTGACTTGTACTCCTTCCGTATGTATGAGATAAGATCCGTTGGGTCAATTTTCGCTGGAGGTGTTACAAAATCCGTTACACTGAGAGAAGGCATTGTTACGGCCAGCGGTATCGTCTTGTGTGGCAGGCTTGCCTTTTTTTTCAAGAGCCCACTGCATGGCCCAAATACTCAGCGGTCTCATATACCCCAACGAGCGAAAGTTGCCATTAGCAACAATAGCCTCTGGAGTCTGGAAACCCATTCCAAGTCTCTCAAAACAAGTGTTGTAAATACCACTGGCTGTTTTGAAGCCCTCAACCACTAGACCCTATAGGAAAAACAGACTTTCAGCTTCATTTATAACAGAGACTCGTGAATTAGTTACATTTCCAAAGTAAATTGGCACATAACATTCCAGAAAAGTGATGCCACGTGTAATATTATACACATTACCTCCTGAATCATTGCAGCAGCAACTGCGTAGGTGATACCAGTCCAGACCTCCTCGGCCTGTAAACTGCTGGTGTCCACCTATCAAATGACACCGGATTAGTCAAATCGTCTAAAAAGAGAGAGAAGACTGTCTCTACTTTTTTAGCAATCCTCAGCAACACTTTTCACACAGCTATGTTCAGCCTCAACAGGCCCTAACGCGCCGGGAAAATATGTCACCCAGTGTTCTTAAGGGTCAAATTTCAGGCTTTTGAGGAAAAAAGGGAAGAAGACAGTTGTAAGCGCCACAGACAGGAGAAATCATTGTCACTACAAATGTTATCACGTGCGGTTTCAAATTGTTGTTTAGAGGCGATCAAATTTGTCGCAATAGGCATGTACAATCCGGATTGTAGACAATGCAATTTTATTACTCTAGAACCAAATAAAGACTTCATTCTGATTAGAGCAAAATTGACAAACCTGGCCATTAGGTCTCATGCCATTCACAGCACCCATACTACCATCTTGGAATTTAAGCACATTGTACTTGTAGACGGTGTTCAGAGCACTGAGTACATTTGCTTGTGGAAACACCTGTGAACAACGGTGAGAATGAGATAACGGATAATTAACATTCTAGAAAATTTCTAGTTGTTTACTTTTAACATTTTTAAAACAAATGGTGATCAAGCATTTCCGTTTATATAGGGTATTTTGCTGCTTTTCAAACTTTCCCCATACGTTACCCGCCCATGACAATTTCCTATTTGTGTCCCTCTTGTCTCTTGTTTTGACGTTCTGTACTTCCCATTCACTGGTTGAAAGTGCTCAAGCGCCTTCCCAAATGCTTTAGTAAACTATAACCACAGGTATATGAAGGACCATCATTGAAAGATGCTTATTTATTCACATTTTACTATTGGTTAAAGTACCTTTACGACACATTTTTATTAGTATTTTTTCTAACTTATATTTTCTGCATTTTTAGAATTGTACTTTAATGTTTATCCTTTCTTTTCAAATTTACTTCTTAATATAGTGTCCCCAATTAGCGTCATTATGACGCTAGATGTATTTGACCCTCAAATATAGATACTTACTTACTTAAGTAAACTACAACCACAGGTATATGAAGGACCGTCATTGGAAGATGCTTTGCTGTCTTTATCAGACAAGATATCTCAATTCTCTACCAGATTTTGAGCATTAAAATAACAAATGAGTCAAAGATTTAGTCTGAGAGAGAATATGGAGCTAAAATGAGAAATCATAGAAAATTCCAGTCAGGGTTCGACGCGAGGCCGTCATAGTCCTTCTTACCCACAACTTACAACAATGAAACACTGACCCAAAAGTCCTCCACTTTTTGAAATACAAAGCAAATCACCTGAAAACCGGCTAATTTTTCTTACCCTGTCGCTTGGTGATTGTCCCAAGTCACATGCCTTCAGATACCACTGGCCAGCCATTTGATCCGCCATGATACTGTCGTGGTATTTACTGGTACTGCTGTCGTAGTTGTAGTACGTCCCTAAAATATTATTCAACCAGATTACATATTCCCTGCAATTTCACTCAACTGACGAATCGTCTGTTCTTTAGGACAATGGTATATATCATGTAATCTATTTACACCCTATCAGTTCTCAAACGTTGTATTTTAACATAAACAACTGATTGACTTATTGATCGATCCATGAAGCAACAGCTCGTTTAGCTTTAATTCAAAGGGCAGTGTTTCGTTTCCTTGGGTGAAATCAGTTGCCATTATATCGGCAAAAATGTTTGAAAAACATATATCTAACATTACCGTTCCACAGCAATTTGTTGTATGCCCTCTTTCCTCTTTTGAGGATGTTGACGTATTTGAGTGCTTCGTTTGGTACTCCCAACACCTGGGCTATCTCCTGCATGACGCGTAGAGACGCCAGCCACAGTCCCCCACAATAGGCACTATGAATAAACCAAAGAGAGCTTTTAGAGAAAAAATTCAGTGCTAACAGCATTAGATGCAACATACTTAGATAATTTGACGCGCGCTTGCTACACGCTAGACTCCACAAACATACCTGCTATTGTAAACGGAAATCAGACTTTGTATATAACGAACAGTAAAAAAAAAAACATGGAATGGAATTTATTGGTTCAACTTCAGATGTCATGGGTGCACACTTAAAACGAAGTGGTGCATTCCTCAAAATAGGACAAAATGGGAGACGCAGTGGCCTGAAAGTTAACATGCTGTATTTCGAGTCTAGACCTTCAAGTTCCAACCCCGGTCAGGTCATTGTGTTGTGCTCTTGTCTGGTGTTGTGTTCTGAAACATTGTGGGCCACTTGGCTCGAGTGCAAACCTTACATTTGCCTTTTTTATAAAAGGAAATCACTTGTGATAGTAGGGGCAAAATAGGGCGACAAATGCATACCTAGGGCCTGTCACTGGCCAGGCATCGTAAGTCTGATCTGCAAAGCCAGAGTTTTCTATCAAGCCATCACCATCTGTATCGTACACACTGGTTTGGTTCATAACTGTCTGAAAATAATCAACAAAAAGCCAACGGTAAAGTTATCTCGATTAAGGAGCTGGCGTAAAGGCCGGTTGATAAACCATACCGGTTTCCAATAATTAATGTTGCTATCAATACTGAGGACCGGTTATTTAAACGTTTAGCCGCTGTTTAACAAAACCGAGTTTTACACTATCTTGAATTTCACTCAATCTTTTCCTTGAACGTCAGTTCTCATGAACAGTGTCAAGAGGGCCGAAAGTTAGCAGTGGAAGGACATTTATTTAGTGAAAACAGCACTCTTATAGAGAACACGTAAGGCCCACTGCTTGCGTAGAACTACGGTTTGGGTTAGACCTCCTCTAAATATCCGGACTTAAGTGTTCAAATGATCAATCACAACACAGTGAGCAAATGAGAATGCGATTGAGGAACTTAAAAGCGCTTCGCAAGCACCACCTATACCGTCTTTGTGTTTATTCGAGTAAATGGCATGCGTTTTGTTGTCAGTTATAAAATGGCCTGTGCCTGGCCATCAGTCAGTCAACAATGGAGACAACTGAAAGAATGGGTGAGGTTCTGGGAGATGGCAATTTTTGGTTCAGCCTATCTTTTGTCTCGTCTTTAAGCGTCAAGGTGACTTTTTTGCCGATATGGGCGAAGGATAGACTGCTTTGCAGCCATTTCCGGAGTCATCACGCTGGGGGAGTTATTCGCCTGGCGTGACGACTCCGGAAATGGCTGCAAAGCAGGCTTAAAAAATACCAAAAAAAATACGGCTTAAAAAATACGGCTTAAAAAATACCATTCGCCCCGAGATGCACATATCAGAAAGTTTGTGATTTGTTAAAAAAAAGTTAACTTGAAGTACCTTCGCAATAGGCCACATGTCTTTGAGGTATTGAATGTCCTTTGTTGCCTTGAAGTCTCGATATACCTACAATGAAAAATTCACTTATCTGTGAATGTGACGACCATGAAATCAAGAAAACGCAATATTGACCTCATCGACAGTAACGGCTGACCAGTAGTTTTAAAACAAGGCCATACCTGTAGGACAAACTTGAGGTTAAGATCTTTCCAGTGCGCGGTGTCATGGATGGTATAGGCATTTACTTTCTCCCACGGCTCTTCAGCTACAAAGTAATCATCAACTACATATATAAGACTCATTTATTCTAATTATGCAATTCTCGAGTAAAATCAAACTTTGAAGATCTCACGAGGCATTTCTTTGTTCAGCCTAAACATGTATGTACATGGTATTTTTCGGGGTATTGACAGAGTCTTGCACGGGGTTAACAATTTCTCATGACCAGAGAGTTTTACAGCAGCTCAGTGAAAGCTGGCCCAACACAGTCACCTGGATCTCCCACATCATGTGGTATGCATCCTGCTACCTTCCTTTGACAGTTTCGTCCATTCATCATTGTCAGTATAGACTGATCATCTGTCTGATTCACAGTCTGAGCTGTAAGGTGAAATTCACACATAATGAAACAAATATAATTCACATAATTCGGTACAATATTTGTCTTGCACAATGTATGAAGTGAAATGGCAGATAAGGCTTCGGTCAGAATTTGAAATGGATGAACTATGAACAGGCACAAAGCAATTTGCATACTAGGCTGATTGTGATAAATTCTAAAAGGGTCACTTAAGTTACAAAAAAAAAAAAACAGAAAAGATTGGCACCTTTGAAAACAAAAGCTATCACACTTTGCAAACATTAGAAAGTACAAAAGGAAGGTGATTGCAAGTGAGAAGAAAAGAAGTAGTTAGCCTTGAATATTGAAATTTCTTGACACACACTGATATTTAACATACTTCTCCACCTAATTTTTTAAACTCCTTTTATTTTGTTGATAAATTCAAAGCTTCAACACACCCCCTCTGCCCCCCCCAAAACAACTTGGGCATTTGAACTTTTGAAGAATTTTTTGAATATTTGTTCAAATGCTAATTGTTTTCAAATGCCCCACCCAAGTACCAGAATCGACGGTCAACCTTTTTTGTAAAGGGAAAAATTAGCAACTGTGACTTTCTAACCTTTACACACGTTTTAAAATATAGACCTTGCCAACCTTTTCTCCTGAGCCATTCATTCAGGAATGTGAACTCGTAACCTTTAAACACCTACATATAGAAATATAAAACACTTGTATTCCACTGGACAGACTTGACACTTCCAGTTCAAATTCCCCACCCCAGCCAGGCAAGGTTAAAATTCCTCATTCCCTACACATGGACAACATCCAAATCCTGGGGGTTAACCAGGGAAGGGTGGGGGAAGGGTGGGATGATAAAGCTTTAAATTGATTGGCGATAAGATGATACTATACCCATGTCATACTGAAGACTCAGTTGTAACTTTGGCCACAACAAGGCAAGTGCAAATGATGCATAGAAGTGGACATCATATGTATTGTACATTCTGTATTCATGGCCTGCCAGGAAAAGATATCAATTTATTGATTATTTATTAACTGAGCACAAGGGCTGTACTGGGGAATATTAGCCTGAGGTTGTCACATTACGGACCAAGCGCAGCAAGGTCTGTACAAAAACAACCAAAGGCAAATATTTCCCAGAACAGCTCAATCAAGCAAGGTTAGTAAGTATTTTATCATATGGCACATGGACCAAACTTGATTGTTTTGAATTTGTGGCTTTCACAAACAAAAATACGTGGCTAATGACAGTTTCAGTCGAAAATCCCAAACCAGGTACGCGCCAATGAGAATGCTTGGATTTACCTTATGACTGCCTTTCCATACAATAATTTTTTATATGACTGTAAGATCATGACAGAGTGTCACCGGACCCCTCATAACATTACTGCAAAAAGCAATCATCTCTGATTAGCTTTTGTAAAAGTGAAGATACACTTCTTTGTCATAATACCTTCTAAATAGGCAAATCTACCATGCTCCTTTACAAACTCTGGAACAGTGGTTTTGTCATTACTTGTGGCATCATCGACATCCATCCAGACCGTTCCCCCATCAGCTACAAAGTACAGTTCATTAAACAAAGCTGACTTGTACCATGAGGGCAGTGAACTACAGCAAAGGATAAATCAAACAAAGAAATATTTTAGCATGTGAAAACCACTTGAAATTAAAGTGAATAGTTTGTAAACCAGACAAGGTATTTAGACATTTATATGATGTAAAGGACTCTTGATAACGTTATGAAGAAACTCAACAAAAGATGGAAGGTAACATAACATCTAGTTTTGAGTGCCATAGTCTTTCTGAAATGTCCGTACAAGCGAAATGGGTCATCGACATGTTTTTGTGAAAATGAACTCAGGACTCCTCCCGGTTAGCTCAATGGATGGAGCGCTGGACTGTTGTGCGGGAGGTCAAGGGTTCAAGCCCCAGCCGGACCAACACTCAAGGTCTTAAAATAATTGAGAAGAATATGCTACCTTTCTCTAACATCAAGAAATGGTTAGATATTCTAGTCTTCTCAGATAGGGATGAACAAATGGAGGCCCCGTCTCCTACAGGGCCAGGGGTAGGAGGCGTTAATTTCCCATGCACGAGATTACTGTGTAATGGATGTCCTCCCCTGGGGTGGGATGGTTGGGATTTATTGGGTGGACTACTCGCATGGTTTGCATATGTTCCGTTCTAGTCCTACCCTACTGCGGTAATGCAGTGAAAATGGTTAGGACTAATGGTAACTAATAATGAAAACAGTTTATTTTAATCTCCTTTATCCAATGTCAGCTACATCATCTGCTGTCATCAGAGTACTATGTTAACATACTTACTCATTTTCTAAAATTGGTTTTTGCCAAGCATCGATCTTGGATTCCCACTCAGGATAACGCAGAAGAGCATGACAACAAAGTGCTTTACTTGCATCACCATGACGACCGAAGAAGCGAGTGTAAAACCTTAAAAAATTGATGTGATTCAGTTCACAAACAACATACAACATATGACAATAGTCTTTGTTCCTTCAAACTGGTGTACCTTAACCCCTTTGTTCATCTTCAAGAGTCTAAATCTTAAGACCTGCATTTTTAAAAAAGCCTCAAATGTTTTTCTTTCTTGCAAGAAATGGGATCTTTTCATAAAGAGATGGACAGTGTTGGTACTGACAGTATGAAACATTTTTCTGCATCAAATATTGAAGAAAGAAACCAAATTAACCAAAGCACAAAAATTATATTCTGACAAGAAAGATTTGTGGCATGAATATGTGTTGTTAAAAGTCTGCACCTTTCTTGCAAGAAATGGTCATGGTGTCAGGGCTCCATACTAACTTTTCAATTTACTAGCCGAGTGGCTAGTGACATCTTAGATGTTACAACAATTTCAGCTTGTTTACTAGCCAAACTGGCTAGTGGAAATTGTAAACCACTTGCAAAACTGAATTTCTACTAGTCTGTGGCTAGTGGGCTACCATTAGTGTCGAGCCCTGGGTGTGATTTTTTATTACTCCAAATAAAGAATCAAGCATTTAACCATACATGCAGATGTTCTAAAGTGTCTCATGTTTTACTATTTCAGTCATACTTGATTTGGTTACTGTAAGACCTGTCCTGGTAATAATTAATACAACATGGCTTGTTTTCTTCTCCTAAAATTTTCAATTTATGATAACATACCTGTAATGTTTCTTTTTAGAGGATCCAAAATAGACAACGGGATTATCCCACGAGAGTGAAAACTCCAAGTTAGCTTTACCATGGGGTGCTATTCTTGTTGTAGCTGCTACTGCTGCACAGAGAATGTGCTCCTCTTTAGATAGCTCACTCGGTCCTGGATAACAAATAATCATAAAATGGAAAACATCAGGTTGATTCCAATTCAAAATTACCAACAAATTTGACAACAAGAAACAAAAAGTTTGGATAAAATGTGGTGAAAAAGAAAAACTCATTTGTTGAATAAAATCATTTCTTGAAAATAAGAACATCTAATAGTTCCTGCCACTTTAAATATCTCACAGTTAACTGTATATAATTCAAAAGCTTTATTTAAATTGAACTAGAGCAGAACACATCAACTTATTGGTATTTCTGACATTAAAACTTGGAGTTTTTAACAATCTCCTCTTCTACCTGTTGTAGAGTTGAGTTTGCCATCATCCAATAGATCTTCCCACACCCTTCTACAGGGACTGTGCGCATCGAATGCAGTTTTTGTTGTCACAGTGACACTGTTTTTTCCAGCCTACGTATAAAAAGAAATTAGTAACACTGTAGTCTAAGCACAAAACCACAGCATTAAACACTTGCTTTTGTTTGGAGAAATGTACCCAACCTGGCCTTGAGGACAAATAGCTTGTGACCTACCATCCCATCAAGAGGTTGAGATTAAGAGGTATCAGTATCAACGTAAATTCTGCAAGAGAGCAACATTGGA